ATCCAGAAATATATTTAAATTTATTTTAATATGAAGGATGAGGTGAATCATAGAATTGATGAGGGAAAAAAGGTGAGTGGTGCACTGAGGAGTCTGTGGAGACAAAGAACTTTATCCATGGGTGCAAAGAGGGGAACGTATAAGAGTATAGTTATATCAATTCTCTTACATGGGTGTGAGGCATGGGTTGTGAATGTTGCAACAAGAGAGGCTGGAGGCAGTGGAGATGTCATGTCTGAGGGCAATGTGTGGTGTGAATATAATGCAGAGAATCTGTAGTTTGGAGATTAGGAGGAGGCGTGGGATTACCAAAACTATTATCCAGAGGGCTCAGGAGGGGTTATTGAGATGGTTTGGACATGTAGAGAGGATGGAACGAAATAGAATGACTTTGAGAGTATACAAATCTGTAGTGGAGGGAAGGTGGTGTAGGGGTCATCCTAGGAAAGGTTGGAGGGAGGGGGGTAAAGGAGGTTTTGCTTGCGAGGGGTTTGGACTTCCAGCAAGCATGCATGAGCGTGTTAGACACGAGTGAATGGAGACAAATGGTTTTTAGGACTTGACGTGCTGTTGGAGTGTAAGTAGGGTAATATTTATGAAGGGATTCAGGGAAATAGGCAGGCCGGACTAGAGTCCTGGAGATGGGAAGTACAGTGTCTGCACTCTGTACAGTGTCTGCACTCTGAAGGAGGGGTGTTAATGTTGTCAACTTTATAACTGTAGTGCAGGTATGCCTCTGGCAAGACAATGATGGAACGAATGATGATGAAAGTTTTTCTTTACGGGCCACCCTGCCTTGGTGGGAAACGGCTGATGTGTTAACCCTTAAACTGTCCAAGCAGATCTACGTTTACATGTGCAGTGCTCCAAAAGTAGATCTACGTTTCTTTTACATATTTTCAATAAAAAAAAAAAAAAAAAAAACTAGATCAAAGTTTTTTTTACACGTTTTCAAATGTAAAAAAAAAAAAAGATGATCTACTTTTTTTACATACTTTCAAATGTTGAAAAAATGTAGATCTATGTTTGGACAGTTTAAGGGTTAATAAATAAAAAATTTAATATTTTATATTCACAGCTTAAGGTATTATAAACTTAACTGAATATGTCTTTATAATCAACAAATATTTTATGTACAGCATGTTACATATACCATGTTATACTTGTGCATAACAGTGCCCAGTGATCTCACTCCCAATGAATGAATTCTGGTAATATGACTCCCAATAAATTTACTCCCAATCAATTTAACTCTCCACATACAGAAAAATCATTTAAACATTTAAAACATTTAATCCTCTTTATAAAAATACACATTAGATTAAGTTAGGTTATGTTAGCATAGGTCATGTTAGGGTATGCTAAGGTAGGCTTGGTTAGTTTAGGGTAGGATTAGCTAGATTAAGGTAGGTTTAGCTAGGTTAGGGTAGGTTAGAAAAAGTTAAGTTAGGTTAAGCTAGATTGTGTTAGGGCAGGTTAGGTTACATAAGGTTAGGCATAGTTAAGTTATATTAGGGTATGATAGGTTAAGGTAGGTTAGGCTAGTCTAAGTTAGATTAAGTTACATCAGGTTAGTTTAAATTATGCTAGGGTATCTTAGGGTAAGCTAGAGTTACAGTAGGGTAGGTTAGCTTAAGTCATGTTACAGTATCTTAGGGTACACTAAATTTCAAAACTATTTTAAACTAAACTTTTATTTTTAATTATCTAAATGAATGTATGTTACTTTCCTGATGAGTGAAATTACCTGGAATGAGATTAACTAGCAGTTAAATTACCTAGAAGCAGATATAACACATTTTGCTTCCAGAGTGAAGCCTTTGACTAATAAAACGAAAAGTGTTGTTCAAAAATGTCAAATTATTTTCTCATGATCAGAACAGTAACAAAAAAATTTAAATGACAATCAGCCCACCTAGCAGACTGTAACAATAACAGACAAATCTGGATTTAACAGACTGTTAATTATTACTAGACCTTATCTGTTATTTCTACATGTTGCCAGCCACAGATTTTTTCCTTTAAATTAAAAAATTTGTTAAAATTGGGTCCATTAAACTGATGTTTTACTGTGCATAATATACACTATATACTAATATGTAACATATAGTAAATCATCAATAACAGACGTTTAAAACTGTGGGCAAAAATCAACTGGTTAAACTGTACTTTTAATTCATTTATTTTCAATGTTTATTGTAATACAGCCTCTCCTCACTTAGCGATGAGCTCGTTCACCGATGCCTTGGGCTTACAACGGGCTCTCTGACCAGTATACATACCTAAATATTGTATATTAGAAAAGATTTCCTTTATTCTGTTTATTACAATATACAGTACATTGACGTATAAGTATTTAACCCTTAAAGTGTCCAAACCTAGATGTACCTTTGCTCGCGTAGCGCTCCGAACATAGATCTATGTTTTTTTTTACATTCTTTCTTGTGGAGAAAATCATGGTCGGAGCACTACACGTGTAAACTTAGATCTATGTTAGGAC